TTTTTTTATGTAATTGGACAGCTGTTTTATTATGAATTAATGAACTAAGATGATTAAAAATAATTCTGTTTTAGCAGGCCATGTATTAACAATTCCTCCTGACTCAAATCACAACTACACAAGTGCTAGAAAACTTTCATGACAATGAGTGGAAGCAGAAGATGGAAAAAAAAAAAAAAAAATAAAAAAAAACAGAACAGTGAGGTGCAACAGGACAAGAGGTGCCTCCAGGCCAGGCTTCCTGCACCAGGCAAAGGTTCCCCATGCTTCCCCACAGCAGCCAAACTACTTCACATGCGCATGCTATCACTCCACATCACCACCATCTCCTCTGGACCAAAGCCACTTTTGGCCCAAATTAGTCATCAAGGTTTGCTCACGCTCCTCCATCTTCACAGCCCCTCTTCATGCTTATGCCCCCACCACCACCCCCAGTCACAGGATCCCACAAGGGGCTGAGAAGGGAAAAGAGACAGTGATGGCAGCAGGCTCAGAGGTAGAGGTAGTTGACCTCTTTGTGGTTACAAAACGTATTTCAGACTCCCTTTCCCATGCTCTGGGTCACTTTGCGAAGGCTGTTTGCCCTAGAGGCACTGCACAGAACGGGATGCTCTCTGATGTAGGGCCACTTCCTTCCTGCTTGCAAGGAGAGAGTCCCACAGCCATGCTGAGCATCACAGCAGCGCTGTGAAAAGCTGGTCCTGAGCTGGGGAGTCCTGTTTTTATCCTTCCTACACTTTCCAGGTTAGAAAACATTTGGGTATTTCAGCCGAACCCGGTGCCAAAGACCAGAAGCCACAGAAAGCAGCTATTGGAGTTCCTATAGGAGCTTCCTAGTTCATATGGGGTAGTTTTTAAGTAGTCAAGTCTTTGCTCTGAGAGAGATTCAGTGAAAAAGCTCCAAAGAGTTGAATGAAGACAGGTACATTTGTCACATGTACAAGTGATTTATCTCCTGCTGTTAAAACAAATCTTCTCCCAATCATTGTGGTTTCCCAACAGCTGCCTCCTGATCTTTCTCCATTTCAGCCCTCCATTTGGCCTTTTTTTCTATGTTCATCCTCAGCAGTGTGTGATTCCTTTTAGCAGCCTTGAAGAGAAATGGTGAAAATCATTGCATGGACACATTTCCCACCACTAAATTTCCCCACATTTGCACTACTTGCTTTTACACCCCACTGTCCTTTTTGATGTTTTGCAGTGATTGAAGTTAATGTGTTTCCTTGTTTTAGCAAATTTTCGGCATTTGCAGCTCTGATTAGCAGGAAAATTACACTGTAAATTGTTCACAGGTGCACTGGGACATACAAGTCAGGTTGGAGACCTTCCTTCCCCACCAGTGGGATGGGAAGAAGTGAGTGTCATAGCTCTTGGTGCCCATGGTGGCATGCAGGCTTGTCAAGCAGTACCACGGGACCCTCATTGTCCATGAATGCAGGGCAGGGCCAGGTGCCATTGATACTGTCTGAGATACTCTACAACCTTTGGCCTGGCCTCTTGCTGAGATACCATGATACAGAGCACTGCATGGCACTGGTTTATGGCAAATTAGGTCAGAGAAACACATTAACCAGCCATTGTGCTTCCCCGTGTCAACCTCTCCTCCAGAGAATGGGGTAATACAGATCTTAAGCAAATATTGCTTATCTGGACTTATTCTCAAACCTATTTGTCACTCAGGTGCTTATTTACAAAGAAAGCATATGTAAATCATACATTATGTGGATCAGTTCACCCAGAAACAACACTCACTTCTTTGCCTGTGATTACCATGGTCAAACAGCCCAGCAAGGTCAGTGCAATCATGATGTAGCAAACCTTTATCCTGACACTGTTCCTTGCTGCGTCGAGGACCTCAGACCTGCAGAAGACAGAGCAAAGTTTCCATCCTGCAGCAGCATGTATGAAATGAGGTCATGGGGAGCTGGGTAATGAAACCTCAAGTCTTCCAGCAACTGCCTATTAGGGTACAGTGTGTTTCAGACTTCTCTTTCTGCAAGTGCTTAAAGGAGGACTCAAAAATGAGCCTATGAGGGAAAGTTTTAGCCATCTGCCCACACAGGTAGGGTATTGCTAATCCCAACAGTCATCAGTTACAACAAGAATAACAAATCCTACTCTCCTGCCTTCTTTTATTGCATATGAGAGTGAACATCTGAAAAATGACAAGAACAGGAAATTTTTTCCATTGTGACAATGGAATTATGAGGGGCCCACCTTTGGGTGCCGCACAGCACCAGGAGACATTTGGGCTATACCACCAGAGCCAGGCAAGACCACCCTCAGTGGAATAAAAGCACATGCCTGATGCTTTGGCTAGGAGCAATGGAGTTTTCACACAGCAAAGAGGCACAGCAAGTGACATCTGGGTCTACGGCCACACCCCAGCTGCATGCAGTGCTTTGCAACCCTGTCCCCCTGCAGCATGGCCCTCTGCCAGGCAGCTGGCATCGGCCCCACATGCATCTGCCTGTGGTAGGAGGCTGAGCTTGGTTGGAGTAAAATACAGCACCATCCATGCAGAGTTGAATTCCCAAGCAGCTGAACAGCCACAGACGTTGCTGGGAAATCTCCACCACCTTCCACAAGTGACTCATGGCGTTTATTCAACCATGCTTTCAAAAGCCTGCAACGTGGCAATGGGTCATTCATGAAATCATGGATTTACTTACACCTGCAAGGGGAAGATCAGCTGGAGGAGCCCCCGGGATGTCACAAGTCAGGAAGCATTACATCTTCAAAACCAAGTGATAATTCTTTAACAAAATACCTTACAAGAAGGTGAAACCATAGCCCAGATGTAAGTAACTCCTTGCAGATATCTGTCACCAAAGCTGTGTATAGCTCCAACTTCTTTTTAAAATTTGTGCAGCATTAATAATTGCTAGTCAGTAAAACTGATTAAAGCATGCAAAAATCCAAAGTGGATGGTGTTTTACCATGGTCACTTCTGAATTATAAAGCCACTTGTCTAGCACAAGACACTTCAGCTTAGTCTGAAAGTTTAGAATCATAGAATCACAGAATGTCTGGGCTGGAAGGGACCTCCAAAGGTCGTCTAGTCCAACCCCCCCACAAAAAGCAGGGACATCTCCAACTAGATCAAGCTACTCAAAGCTTCATCCAGCCTGATCTTGAATGTCCTCGGGGATGGGGCCTCCACCACCTATCTGGGCAACCTATTCCAGGGATCTGGCACCCTCATACTGAAGAATTTTTTCCTAATGTCTAACCTAAATCTACCCTTTTCTAGCTTAAACCAGATACCCCTCGTCCTGTCCCTACAAGACCTTGTGAACAGTCCCTCCCCTGCTTTCTTGTAGGCCCCTCTCAGGTACTGGAAGGTTGTTATAAGGTCCCCCCGGAGCCTCCTCTTCTCCAGGCTGAACAACCCCAACTCCCTCAGCCTGTCCTCACAGCAGAGCTGCTCCAGCCCTCTGATCATTTTTGTGGCTCTCCTCTGAACATGTTCCAACAGCTCCATGTCCTTCTTGTGCTGGGGGCTCCAGAGCTGGACACAGGACTCCAGGTGAGGTCTCACAAGGGCAGAGCAGAGCAGGGCAACAGGATCACCTCTCTCCATCTGCTGGCCATGCTTCTTTTGATGCAGCCTAGGATTTGATTTGCCTTCTGGGCTGCTGCTGTGCTTTGGTGGCTCATGTCCAGCTTCTCATTTACTAGTACTCCCAAGTCTTTCTCCAGTGGACTGCTTTCTAACGTGTCCTCTCCCAGCCTGTATTGGTAACGTTGGCTGTCCCTCCCCAGATGCAGGACCCTGCACTTGGTCTTGTTGAACCTCATGAGGTTCACCTGATCCCACCTCTCCAGCCTGTCCAGGTCCCTCTGGATGGCCTCTCATCCCTCTGGCACATCAACTGCACCACACATCTTAGTATCATCAGCAAACTTGCTTATGACATTGAAAACAGGTGAATCCATTTTACTCCACAGGGTATGATAAAAAGTTTATGTTCTCAAAAATTTGGATTATTTTTGGACATGAGTAGCAGCATGGAGGAACACTAAACCTCACTGCATGAGCACAATCCTGGGTAGTACAAACTGGGGTCAAAATCTGCATGTTCATATCCAAAAGCATCATTCAGACAGGTCTACTTACGATACGTGCTTAGGAATGTCCTCCTTTTTAAAGCGTCCTGCCCATACTAACACCTTTTTATCAAAATTTGTAGGCCTTCTGTCATTTTTTAAAGCTTGGTAACCTGTAAGAGATTTTATAAAAGAAAACAAGCCAAGCTGAAAGATGGGAAGAGGAAAGAAGCTGTTGTTACAGGGGAAAAAGGACTGGAACATTATGAATGGCACTTTACTATTCTGTGAGAGCCAAATGTGCTTTCTCATGTTGAAAGGACTCAGCAGCTGGTGTGAGATTCTTTGTTACATTCACAGCCTATTTCATTTTGCTTATATTTTTCTTTTCCCCTTTAGTTTAGGTAAGGTTTAACCCAAAAATCTCTTCTAACCTTCCTGATTAAAGGGAAAAAGGATGTGGGGATGAAGTCACCCAAGCCCATAGCATGCTCACCCTGCTAGTCTCTTGCTTTTCAGTGGTTCAGCTAGTGAGTTCAGCAAACTGCCAGGAGCTCTAATAACTCCTCAACAACATTGCCTTCTAAAAGCGCCGATGGAGACACAGTCTGTTAAAATACAGCCTGGTGGGAGGCTGGCAGTCATTCTCATACAAGCTGGGTACCACATTACTGTACTCTAATGATGATACATTACATCCCACCGGACCACGGTGATGCCGTTAGCGTGCTGGCAACCATGGGCACAATGAGAAAGGAACTTTGGCTCCTCTTTATGGAAAGCCAAATGACAGGCCACGATGAGGGCAGTAGCAAGGAGACCCTGTAAAACCAGGGTAAGCAATGGCTAGCTCAAATCCTGGCTTTTGCATTGCACACCTATACAGGTGGTCATCTCAAGGTAGCTGGTGATTGCTCACAACCCAGGGAGGTGCACCCAAGATGCTAGGTTATAGTGTCTTGCGCTTGCAAATGTGGAACTGATGTTTAGAAAGACCCTGTGAGTGATCAGGGTATGCAGGAAGGGATGGGCATGAAGATGCTCCACAAATGCACCCCCTGGCTGGATTACTTGTCGGAAAGGAAATCAGTGCTGCTACAGAACAGGGCACAGGGACCAACATCCGTGTTTAGATGGTGAAATTACATTAGCTTCGGCTTGGCCCCAGGCCTGCTCATGCAGGACTTGTGAATGGCTGAAAAATCCCAGGTGTAAATCTTGGCACCCAAAGACCCAGGTAAATTTGATCTGCTTCTCCTATTTCTCTTATAAAGTGCCAGTGAAACCAGTAGAGCTATATGTGAAATATGAACAAGTTTCTGAATCTCTGCAGCAAGCAGTAAGATGGATTGCTAAAAGGACATGCTCCATCCCAGAGAAGACAAGGGCAAAGCTCCGTTCTGGAGACCCACAGACATCCCATGGGAGCCCATATAGCCTCACAAAACCCAGCTTCATGAGGGCGAGGAGTCTACAAGGGTAGGGCCAAGGAGATGGTGATGCAGATTAGAAAGAGAAACTATCTCCATGCCGGAGAGCTTGTCCATGTGGGAACAGACCATGCCTGCTGCCTGCCAAGTAAACAAGGATACTACCTGCCACAGGCATGCACAGTTGTGGATATAATCTGTCAGGGAGTGGCAAGGGGAGCAGAGGGGTGCAAGTCTGCAACTTGCAGCAGCTCTGCACGCGTGGGGACGTACAGCCATCCTCCTCTGGAAACCTGGCAGATGGATGGGAGGAGGTAATTTTTTTTTTAATTAATAGGTTCCCTTCCGTGAAGTATCAGATTAGATTTGCTGCTGCAGGGGGAAAAAACTTTATCCCTGTGTAATGTGCTAGTCAGAGCTCTCAATTTGCGCCACATCTCGGGAGCGTTTGTAACCCCAGCAGACGCAGCCCTGCAGTAACAGACACAGACAAGAACGTGGGTCAGTCTCCTGCCTTTTCCTGCAAATACCCTTTTGCTCCCTGCTGCAGCATAAAACAGCGACCAAAGCCTTTCCACCCACCTGGATTAGCTGTCTCCAAAGCCCCGTCCTTCGTGTCCTTTGCTTTGTTGCTGACAGCTCTGGTGGGGTGCAGGGCTGGCCAAGGCCCTTGCTGCCACAGCCTAGGGCTGTGCCCCATCAGCCTCCCCAGCATCCTGCCCTGGCCTGGGAGCACACAGGGGCACCAGCAGAAGCCCAAGAAGGCTGCTTCTAGGAGTTATTAACATAAGACTACCACTTCCTGTAAGAAGGGAGTAGCATGCATTTCCACCCTAGCTGCCAACTGCTTTTGCTTGTATCATGATGACTAGTTAAATTTATTGCCTGTGTTTACCAAAATGACACACCTTCTGAGCTAGGTGATCAGAGGTCACTGCTGTGGCAGTTCCCACCCAGCCCAGGCTCTGCCCCAGGCTATTCATCTCAAGGAGCTGCTCAGGAGACCAATAAGTATTTACATTATTTTCCTCAGTCTTCACTACGGTAGGACTGAAGTAGGACAGCACGATGTATGTTCCCAAAGACAGGCTCAGTGACTGCTAATTATCACAGCCAGTTAAGCTGTTAGAGTTCTTATTTTTTCTCAGCTAAAAAAAATAATCTTGCAAATCATTTGCACTAAACAGACTTTTTGAACAGGAGCATCATTTCCCCTATCTCAGAATAAACGTGGTTTTGCAGAAGGAAACTAAAGCTGATGTTTGTGACTATAAATGTAGCTGTGGAGTCCATCTCACATCCAGACTGCAAACCAAAGAAATATATTTCAGATATATTTCAGGTTTGAATCAGTTAACTGAGAAATAATTTTTAAAACCTCAGGTAATGTTTGTATTTGTCAGTAAAATTGTCATTGAAATGTAGCAGTACCTACAAAGTATTTGCCCTCTTTGAATTCAGTCTCTCCAAAGCCTGGATAGTGCTGGATGTTTTTCATAACATCAGCTGTTCTAAACAGAGAATGAACCAAAACCAATGCTATTTTATCACTTTCACATTTCTCCTGTGTTTTGCACAAAATTGTCTCTCCCTGATGAATGAGGAAATAGAAATGCAAAATACTTATCTCATTTGGAGTAGTGGGGTATTTACATTCCTCAGACATACAAGGCTTTAAACCTGATTTACAACTAAGGAAAAAAAATCCATTTGAAAGGGAAGAAGCAGTTGCCAAAAGGAAAAATTTCAGAACTATTTAGTAATACTCTCAAAAGCAATTTTGCAGATAATCAAAGTGTGTCTAAGAGCAAGGGGAGGAACTCCAAAGGAATAGAGTTTGGATGTTGGCAAAGCTATTCTTTAATGGCTGAGAGGATGAAAGATGTGATACAGATGCAGCTCCAGCTACCACCAATACTGAGGATAGAAGAAACTCACAGCAATGCCAAAAGCTGGTTTTCCTCTTTATGAAAGCTCCACAATGCGTCTGGACATAATACAATGTGTTTAGCTTAATTTGCATGTAATTTGGTAAAGCAAATTAGATCCATTTCCAGATGAGGAACTCATACAGAAAATAAATGGTGGTTTGAGCTTCCAGCTCAAACAAGAACTGTAAACAAGCAGAAATCAGTGGATGTGAGTATGCTGGAAGAAGCAGAAGGGAAACCTGATAAAGCCACTGAGGATATTTGTGTCCTGCTCAGGATTTCCCTGAGGGAAGGTAAGCATGGGGAGGAGGAAAGATGCATTTCTAGCATGAAGTTTACAGGGCTCAGCACCCCTGAGCATTCGCACAGGCCTTGTGTACAGCCTGGTGGCCTTAGTCTTTAGAGATGTTTTGTGCCTAAACCACATGCACATCCCTCCCTGCCCAGGTTACAAACTATCCCTGTGAGTCTCATCCACTCCCTCCCCTCACCAAGCCATCATCTGTCAGTGACTCATTAGCAGAGTGCAATCATTATTTCATAACCATTAAGCTCACAGACAGGGATTTTATTGTATAGCAGTAACAACTTGTTCAGAGATGCAGAATTATTAAAATTATCCTTAAAGCACCATCTTATCCTCCTCCCACATCCTTCTGCCAGGAAGAGATGCAGGAGGACCTCAGATCCTCAGCAAACCCTGGACGGTGCAGATGACAACTCACACACTGACGAGCTGTACAGGAGTTTCCCCAGGCTTCAGCTGACCCTCACTGCAAGGGGAAAGCACTGATTTGAAGGGTTTTGAGTTACAAAGAAGCAGGCTAGCTCAGAGAGCAGTGTTGTGGTGGTGACGGAGACTCTTGACATTTCTGCTTTCTGTGCAAAAGTGATACATAGATGTAACACTAGCTGTACAGTGGTGCCAACACTGCAAGTGGAAAACTAAACACACAACCGGACAGGACTCCATCCTGGTTCTGCATCATCTTCACACCCCTTCTCCTACCTCGGATTTTGCTTTTGCAGTTGACTCCACAGCAAGGACTAGCAGCCAGTCATCCTCCCCTCCCTAAATGTACACAAAAACCTTTGCAGAACTGAAACTGAAAATCCACAATATAAAACCCATTGCTCTCTGTAAAAATCCATTGCTCTTTGATTTCTGACTGACTTTATGCTGCCATTCTGATTATTGCCAGACTACTGCAGCAATGAAAAATTTGAACTTGGGTTCTTTTTACCTGTTCTTGTTCTACTTTCAACAGCCACAGGAATGAAAGAGTTTAATCCTACAGAAGCTCCAGGTTCCTGCACATCTCTTTACATCTCCTCATTAATTTTCATAAGATCACAAAACAAAAATAGTTCATAGGCATATTCAACGGTTAAAAAAAAAAGTGCTGTAAAGCTCTTTTCATGTGCAGTGTCCTCAAAACCAAACAGCTTACCATTAGGCTCTGTTTTGCATGCCATGCAAACTTTTTACATGAGGGCTGTGATGAGGAGCAGAAGATAATCTTATCTTAAAATTCTTTGCCTTCCCTCCATGTAATTAAATATGCAGCAGAGCTCTGTCTTGGTTCCTAGATAAGATAAACAAGCAATCCTGTATGGGCTCATGGCTCATGAAATTCTAAGTGAGTCAGGAAATATTCTTCCATGAAACTGTGTATTCTCCAGGAGCACAAATTAACACAGCAAGAACAATGAATTGCTTTGAAACGTGTCACTTGCCTGCAGTCTCCCACCCCAAGAGCCCTTCCCTCCTCTCCAGGGGCCCTGTGGAGCAGCACTCCAAGGGCTTCAGTT